TTAGAAGCTGGTCGGTGGCTGGGCTGAGGAGGATGCAATTCGTGGTCTGAAGTGTCGGGAGCGTACGTGTGATCATACTCATATGGACGAGGGTTTTCATGTGAGTGGAGTGGGTGGCGGAGGCACAGACGTGCAACATGTACGGGTAGACCACACGAAATGCAGATCAGTCGGTTGTCGGCAGTGTGCCACTGATTAGGGACTTGGTGGACATGAGTTCTTGGCGGCTGGGCGGTATAAACAGGAACATGCAGTGGAGGCGGTGTTCGGAACGGCTGTGGTCGAGGTCGTGCAGCTGCTTCGGCGTACGTCAATGGTGCATTGTCTGGTGGCACCAGCTACAGAGGAAGAACCTTAGGCACTTGGTCTTGTGTAATAGACCATAGTGTGGGACTAAGCGGCGCACTGCATTCTAGTAGGCCGGAGATGAGCGAGAGTTGGAGGGCAACTTCTTCGCGCACAAAATATTTGATCTGCGAAAGGAAGACGAGATCTCGTGAGAGAGTTAGGGCAGACATCGATTCTTGATGTGGGACAGCACGGCAGGTGACAAGACGTTGCCGGTGGAGCTCATCATAGCTTTGGCAGAGCTCGGTAACTTGGGCGTTTGTAGCAGGGCTTTTTGAAATCAGCACCTGAAATGGGTCCTCATCGATACCGATCAAAATATGCTTGATGCGGTCCACCTCAGCCATGTTCGCATCGACTCGTTTGCACAAGTCAATGACGTCGTCTGTGTAACAGGTGAAATCCTCACCAGGTAGCTCTGATCATGACTGAAGACGTTCCTCCGCATGAAGTTTGCGAACAGCAGAACGACCGATGATTTCACTGAACTTTGTCTTGAATGCTGTCTATGTTGGAACGTTGGTTTCATAGTTCCGAAGTCACAAGGGGGCAGTGCCACTGAGGTAAATGCCAACAGTGGCCAGTCTCGTGGCTTCGTCTCATTTCTTCAAGATACTACCAAGTTCATAGGTACCCAGACGGTCATCGATGTTGTGATTGTCAGTGCTGCTGAATATGGGCGGGACCCCTGACGAACCGCACCGGAGCACACGATGGCCTGGGGAGCCATAGATGTCGGGCTTGTGGCAGATGTAGTTGTCATGGCGGCAGGTCGAGTCCGGCTTCGCATTTCCAGGCTTGTGAAGAGACCCAGAAAACCCCACCAAATATAATAAAGAACTCTGACAACCAGAACTGTTGAGACCAGGTAGGATCGTAGGCCTAGCCCGTGAAAGCGGCCACAACGTCCGTGCAGAGCATCTCGTGCTTAGCTTCATGACTTCCACTGTCTTTACACTATCTTGCAAGCATATCTAAATGAAATAGAACATTGGCAGGATGAATTGATGTTGAACCTGAATACCAGTAAATGTGCTATTCTCGTTTTTCCTGTCCAAGATGCTGTGCACCTATCTAATAATTACAAGCTTCAAGATATCACTTAAGTACAATCATTGAAATATCTTGAAGTTATGTATAATGAACATCTCAATTGGCGCCCTCCCAATGAATACATCACGACAAAAGCAGTACGTGCGATGGGCGTATTGCGGAGGTTAAGCAATTTTTTGTAGATCAGATATGAAAAGGAAGGCACTTTTGATTATTTATAAAATGTATGTCTGACCTGTGTTAGAGTTTGGCTGCGTTGTTTCTTCTGGTGCGCCAGCCTACAAAAGTCGGCTGCTCGTACTATTGGAAAGAGAGGTTTTATGGCTCTGCTTAGGACATCCAAAGTATACTGCGAATGCAGTGTTATACCTTGAAGCACGTATACCGACCCTATTATGTTGCTTTAACATTCTTACTGTGAAGACCTTTTTTACTACTATATGAATCATCGTTGAACCCTGAACAAATTATTTTTATTTCCAATTCTGACCTATTCTTCTTCTTGCATTGGCCCAGATTTCACAAACCACAAATAGTGTTTGTTCGATCGTTACTAAATGTACAAGTTCGTGATCTGATTTCTTTACCTGAGCAACAAATTTCTAAAAAAAAGTTTACCCTGATATCTTCCCAACCCACGCTAAGCTATTACCTATTGGTATTTTAAATGGTTTATTGCAGGACTATTTAAGTACTCTGCCAACAAAGGTCATTATTGCAACGGACGCATCGCAATCAGATGAAAAATTAGGCGTTGGAATATATTGCCCCGTACTTGATTGGTCATTTTCACTTCACATACCAGATTTTCTTCCTGTCTTTCTGGCTGAATTTATGGCAATAATGTTAGCTTTGCGAAAGGTAAATACTTTCGTTCCAGTCGTAGGAGTCATAACTGATTCATTATCAGTGTGCTCTTCTCTATCCTCATCCAGTCACTCACCCTTACTTAAACTTTTTAAATCATTGGCTCCCTGTCACCTCCGAAGTACTCATTTATTCTGTGCACCAGGGCACAAAGGTTTGTTGTTGAATGAAAAAGCTGATTCTTTTGCGAAGGCATCGCTTTCGACAACCTTCATTCTTATTTTCTCTCATACAGTACACATCACGGTGGCGCGATTTCGCACACTTAAAATCAGGCAAAATTTATCAGACCCTGCACTTACGGCTTCTCCGGAGTACAAACACTTGTTATTTCCCTGGCACAGTGAACTGCCTAATTCAAGGATGATGGAAGTTGTCATCACAAAATTTGGTTGCCGCGTTACCTCCCTCAATTATTACTTGCATAGATCAGGTATATTGAATTTCCCTATGTGCATTAACTCTAATGAAGAGGAAACGATCAGTCATTTTTATTACATTGTCGCCATTTTGATTTATTCAGGCAAAGCATTCTAGCGCCACCTTTCCAAAAAATGGGCTTGCAATTATCACAACCTGATCTTTCGTTTGATCTCTACTTTGGGTTTCAGCCACAGGGATGTTTTATTCGCCGTTCAGGAATACATCGCTACGACTAAACGATTTTATTGCTAAACTACGGTCTCATAATTTCTTTTTTACTTTTTTCTGCCAATTCCCAATTCACATTTTTAATCAGAATTAAATAACAAAAGTTTTTTAGGAATGATGCAATGATACATGTATCGGGCAAATTCATTTAATAATCGGCCAATCCCTTCCCTAGGGTTTGAGCAACACCTCCTCTAGATAGATGCCTGAGGAATGGCTCGCGCTCCAAGCGGAGTTAGCCTGCCTTCAGTTTTAAACAAGCTTCGCGCGGTGGCGCTCGCGACCGACACTATCATCACGGCAGCGGACGGTACCAGCTAAGCGTTTTTCATCTGCGGCCCATAGGGGCGCGGCAGTAGAGAGTTGTTCGAGACCTAAAACTGTGCATCACTGTTTCGGAGGCTATGCAAAGTGTTGTGGTGTTGAACCGTCCACCACAGGTGACGATAGTGACTGAGAAGATTTTAAAATGAAGGAGGGAAAGGGTGTGACAGCTGTTTTTCCGCTCATGCGGCAGGCATCTTCCTAGAGGAGGCGTTGGTTTGAGCCATTTACACAGAAAAACGACAACAGCAACAAAAGCATGCTGCTAGTAACACATAATTCAGCTTTACGAAAAAGCTTTACTGACACAAATCAATCTCAACTTACACGATTAAATTTCAGTAATCCATGTATAATTCTTCCCGAGTAACAACATACAATACAAAATATGCACTAAGCGGTTCAAGTACGCACTAGGGACCCAATATCGCTGTCACGTATCTCATAAGGGCAAAGATTAAGGTTGTCCCAAATATTTTTTCAGTATGTACGTTTCGTTTGAAAGAGTGTAAAAAAGTAGGTGGTGAGGGGCATGAAGATGATCTTTTTCGCTTCAAATTTATTCCGCCCTTGCAGTTTTAATAGGTCACTCAATTTTTGTTTTCCAGTAGGACGTTGTTCTCCACCGAACACATTTGCAGAAAAGCCGTTAGAATTTGTAGAATATATGACCTCTTTCGAAGGAGCAACAGCTGACCTAATAGACGTAAAACCAAAGGCCTTGAAAAAGATCTTGAATACACGCCGAGCAAGTGCGCACCCCTCCCGCTTCCGTAAGCGCCGCAGGTGTGTTGCTTCGGCAGCTTTCCTTTTTGCTGGATGTTCATGCACACGCTTACATCGCAAAACCATCGGCGCAAATTGTTTATACAGTGCACTGCCATTCCGAGTGTGCTGAAAGAAACTTTTTTAAATGCTCCGAAAGCGCCGAAGAGTGCGATGACGTGACGTAAGCATCGGCATCGCCACACGCCATGAACAGCTTCTGCTACCACCTGCCCTCACCAGGCAGCGTCTCATGTTCACAATATAGCAGCGTGGCTGACACACGTTCTAGGAGACTAAAAAAATTTTGTCTATAGGCTTCAAATACTTGGTTGCCGTATCATACTGCCGAAAAATCGTTTAAGTTGGCTTTGCTATATTGTCACCAAACAACTGCGTTTATATCACTTTCAGTTTTTGTCTTATACCTCTTAGAAAAAAAAAACATTTACGCCTCACTTTTAGCGTGGGACAGCAAAAGATAAAATTGAAAAACTGAAGATTCAAAGAACCTTGTGCCATTCCATATCCACAAGATTTTTCATCATCTTAAAAAGCATATAACTAGGGCATTGCCCAAAAAGGGCATAAGAGCGCGGATGTCTGAATTTAAACCATTTTCGTAAACCGCACAAGATTCTCGACAGTCGCTGCTTTCAGACCATTAGAGAGTAATTGGTGGAAATGGAGCCTACCTGCAGCATTCGGCGAAAGAATTGTGATTTATTTAACAGCAGTGTCAAAGCAAGGTTTGCGCTATGATTTGCAAAAAGAATAGAAAATACAAACATTCCGTCAGGTATAGCCTTCTACCAGCCAACTTGAAAAATTGATTCACCCTCTGTTAGGTTTCGAGTGAAGAGTGGCTGCCCAACAACGAACATTTGAACCCATGAGTCAACAGCTGTTTTATGTAAGCCATATACTACAGTATGATTTCATCCAGTATGAGCACTGAGCGTGGGACTATATGTAAATGAACCATCTCCTACCTGATGGCGCAGTTCCATATATTGGGACAACAGTCATCAAGACGGCAACGAAACTCGCGTGTGCATTTACCATAGTGAATCTGTAGGTGCATTGATTGACCACTGATTGTGGTCCGTTCAGGCAGACGTGTGCCTTTTTATGGACACTTAAATATCATCCCTGCGGCCAATTTTCTAGATATTAAGAAGCCACAAAGACAAATGCCGTGGCTTTTTTTCCGAATCAGTAGAGCACCTATGACGTTTCGTTTACGCAGGAATCAGATTACTTGGAAGCTATAGTTTACGGAGAGGTTGTAGCTGTTTACGGAGTTAGACATTAGCAAACAAACGTCTTTAAGTATTAGATTGTGGCATCGGCAAAAAGAACTGCTTAAAGGAGGTTTAATATTTACAATGCTGACTCCTTAGCTTTTTTAGCTGACACATAAGATGCCACTTGAAATCTTCACTATATGAGTTGCATGTACTTACGACGTGCGTGTAGTTCAAGTGATTTGCTTGCTTTAGTCATCAATGCCAAAATAACATACACACTTTAAATTTTATTAGGGCATACGAGAGCAGGGTAATAAATTTTCCCGCATATTTTTGTTGTTTGTAAAGCCCTAAGCGGGGGTACAAGAATGATTTTACGTTTTGCTCTCAGTGAACATCGACGATCGTGGCTGCAATAGAACCTCCGATCGCTCATTCAAGAGTGTGACGCCGTTGTGCTTATTTACAATCGTGTGGCCATATAGATGCTCCCTGACCACAGTGGCACTGTCAGACTCGAACTTTTATAGATACATTGAGGGCCCTCTATATTTGTTCTTGAACTTGTCAAGTCACGCACGTCAAGCTTGGTATGCAGGTTCTAAAAGAAGCAATTACTTCCATGACATTAATTGAATGTGCTCAGTGTTGGCCTGGTACAAGGCAATGTCATAATCAATTTTTTTCAAAGTAGACAACAACCGGAAGTGCAGACAGGTTTTTTTCGCTGTTGTTGTTTGAGCGAAGCCTTACGAGGAGCACCAACGACGTTCTGTAAATTATATAATGTGAATATTCAGCGGACTCATCCGGCGAGCGTGTCTGATAGGAAGGTCATGGTCACACTTATCATCGGCCCTCAAGCTAGAGCAGAGACGTCTCTTTAATTGCCAAAACGTCCATGCTATATACGCTGCGATGACTTGCGCTTGAGAAGTTGTCAAACGCATGTTCGCGCAACGTTGTGTGGTGTCGTACACACACATATGTGACTTTATCACTCTGATATCAAAGCAGAAAGGTAATACTGTGACCCCAGTTTACGCTGACTTAACATGACGCTTGTATTTGGTCTCTTTCTGAATCAGTTTAGGATCTGGTGTGAGAAAGTGGTAAAATGCACAACAGGTCTTAGTAATAACTGGTTTCAAATTTCCCACGTGTCGTGGATAACTTCATTGGCTTCCATAGGGATACCTGACCAACAGTAACACGGCTCAAGCCTCACTGCATATTGCGGCACGAACTGCTTCATGCTGTCACGTCCCAATTTCGGATGCCTTGATTGATGTACACTGTTTTACTACCTGTCGCGCTTACCTTGGACGGTGGTCTGCGGCTCAAGCCACACTTCACTGGTGGAAACAAATTCATACACATGCCCAAAACGTAAATTGTTCAGGCCTGTCATGACATGCAAAACGTAATACTTGTACACTCGCAACCTCGTGTGTAGTATTGGCACACACCACGTTATGAAACTAACTGTGAGAGCACCAGGACCTAGAAGGACAGACAGACAGACAGACAGACAGACAGACAGACAGACGGACAGACAGACAGACAGACAGACAGACAGACAGACAGACAGACAGACAGGCAGGCAGATTGTTAGAAAAGACGAAAGTGCCTTTGATTCAATTCTTTGTCTCTTCTTACGCTGTTATCAGTATAACGAACCCCCAACTTGCCCAAAGATTTGCTCTGCATCGAGCTACTGAACAAGTATCCAAGCAACATGGAGTATGCACTACTGTGGAAAGCCAGCCTACCGAATTAGACACATAGAGCAATTGTAAACTCATTCTGTTTTTCTGACGGATGACCTAAGGTGATACCGTAAGCCCACAATATACTCGCGGTATCGTCATAGTTATAAGAAGAAACAAGCATTTCGAATTTCAAGACGTCAATAGGTGACCAGTAAAAAAGCAAGGGATTGTGGGATGCACCGTCTAACACCAGCTTCCGGTTCGCGAAGAGTAGATGACGGCGAACCGCCCTGCCGCAAGCCTCAAAATATTCGGGACTCGCGCGCGTGGCCGCCCGTTCATCTTCGTCCTCAAAAACCATGGTTGGTTTCTCAGCCGTTGGCTTCTCCTACTCTAGCGTGAAAGGCAAACGCAGGTATATTTCCCATGGAACGAAGAAAGATAAATGTGGTGGGCCGCGGCTGTGAAGAAAGCCACAGCGACAGGTAGCCTTTGAGTACGGAACGTTGAAGCCAAAGTGTGCGAAAACCATTTTATCACAGGTACGTGAGTATTCGGCGCTAAAAAAAAGCTTACGCGTAAATTTGCTACGAATATTATATTGATGAATAAATTGTCGCTCAGGCGCGCCTAGCAAAAGTATTATGGAAACGCCCGGGCGAAATCTACCTGTCATACGAGATGAGCGCCGGTTATTGCACCTATATAAATGACAAAAACGCGAAAGCTTCACTCAGGAGCAAGATTAAACGAAGCGCTGGACGAGTCCATTTGTGTTTATCTTGGTGAAACTGTGCGCCATGACGGCACCCAAAGGAAGAAGTGCGTTACAAGCGCAGGGTTTTGATTATTCGGCGCCGTCCATGTCTGACTGTATTGTTTATGTGCCGCAGTGCACTGCAGCTTGACCAAGATCAGCGTTCAATTAAGCATCTGGCTTCGACTAAGAAATGCATCTTATAGCACGCTGAAGGCTAGAAAAAATAACTCAACGCGCTCAATAAGCGTTCCGCTTCATGCCGATCGACTAACGAGTTCGGCCGTAGCAGCGATCCCGAAATGAACTCTTAGCAAACTGCTACAGTCATCCCCATCCCCTGAGATCTCTAAAATGGGGACATTTTATCTGCTCTACCGTATCATACAAGGAAAACTGTTTTGCGTATAGACTGATCTACTAGCCAAACTGACAGCACCCCTGAGCAGCATAAAAGCATTGCACATCATTTTAGTGCCACAAAAAAGCTTTCGGACCATTCATGGCTTTCGTAGCTTGTCATCGCCACAGTCACTGTTGGCAAAAAGAAAATGGCAGCGTATCAACGGAGTGAATGATGGTGAGTGGGGTGAAGCATTCGTCCGTCCATTCGTTCTTGCTTCCGTCCGTCCATGCGTCCACCTGTGTGTTCGTCAATGCGTCCATCCGCCCGTCCATGCGTGTGTCTGTTCGTGCGTCCGTCCCTGCGTTCGTCCATGCATCCGCCCCTGCGTCCGTTCATGCGTCCATCCATGCATCAGTCTGTGTGCCCGTTCGTCCATCTATTCAACACTCCAAGTACAACCATCTCGCATCTTTTTATCATGTATTCGCCAAATAGAAGCACCACCATCCAGCGGGAATTCCTAGGACTAAACGAGAGGTGGCACACGCACACTTTCTTACGGCTTGCGCTTCGTATCTACTTCCCACCTTTAACCACCTCGAGTTTGTTCATGGTATATACTAGTTCATTGTATTCATGGCACTGCGGCTCAACGCTCGGTAAACCTTTTATAAAACTAAGGGGGTTACATTCATCGAGTATAACGTAGCAACCCTTTCTTCTTAGTGCTCAATGTACATGCCAATTGCTGCTAATGGAGATCGCAGCGTGCGCGTTCACTAAAAGCCGATTGCTCCTGTCTCTCATTCTTAATTACCAGCCGTTAGCATGTACATTGAGCTCTATTTTTTATTGTTGAACAACGCACAGATGGAATCCCCCACCGGCACCACCTTGGAGGTCAAAATGTAACAATTGTTACACACTAAGGCACTACAAGGGACGAACAGTTGCTGCTATAAGAAGCTTCGCCCCTAAAAAAACTTCTAAAGCACTGACACTGCACGGCGAGGTGCTTTTTTTCAACGAAGCACTAAAAAAATGCGCGCGTACCGCTGCTAACCCGTGTGGTGCGTCGAACCGCAAGCCGTCGTATCCCACACTTCCCTGTAATTGCCCATTTTACCAGTCACCTATTGCACACCGTGTTTATTTTGTAATTTTTTGCTAACATCACTCCAAGCAGAAATCACGTTGGTGACACAGAAATTGAACTTTCACATTCATGAACATCAGTGATATCCTACTCATGCAAGTTATGTTACAAGGAGCAGGAAACTAAGAGTTTCAACATGATTTTTCCTTCTGAATGACGATCTTGCTTACTCAATATGCTTTAGTTATGAAAGTTATTGGAAGTCTAAGAGCCAGTGAATTTTACTCTCAATGGTCCTTGTTGTTGTTTTCGTTCATGTATCACCAATAATCATTGTTCAGCATTTTCCTCTGTTATCATTTTCAGGTGAACAGCAACCACACCTGTATCGTTCACTGCTATTACGTTTCCAGGTAGACTATTGAACGGGTCTGGGGTTGTACCAGCGTATGGTCAACGCCCTCAAGCGAGGTATAGCGTTTAAGTGATGATGAACGTCAAGCTTGACTTATTCGGAGGGACCGAATCTACTCCACTCGGCACCACGCACAGGTGTTCAAGGCGGTTGTTCCCTTCCTTCGAGACAGTGAGACAACCTGCCATACAGGGCGCCCGCTGCCTTCTATATTTTGAACGCCATTTCGCTTTTTGCATTTTTTTGTTTCTCCTAGCCTGTCTTCTCTAAAACTTTGATGAGCTCTCTCCAGTACCCTTCATGCGCTGAGCCGTGCTTTCAAATAGATCTGCAGAAGTTGCGCATTTGCCTTTACTCAACGTCTACTCCTCACACCCCTCAGTTGCTACAAAATATTGACGATGCCTTTTGACAATTCTCACGCTTTGGACACAGCGTTGCCAGCCCATGGTGATGGAAGGAGAGATAGGTGTGAGCAGCCTCTGCTCATCGGCCTCAGTGAGAATGGTGAGC